ATTATTTATAGGAATCTAAATAATAAGTACTTTCATTAATTTTAATTAATTAAATATATTATACATACGATCCGCAACGTAAACTAAAAAATAGTAATAATAATTTGAAATTAATGTGGACCAATAGTTGACAGTATACTACATTTAAAATGTAGGTTGATTGGTTTTTAAAAATTAAGAACCTTGTAGGTTATAGTGTTATACAGGGTCAACTATTTTCAAAGGATTTTTAGGTCAATCTAAAGTCTGGACAAATGATAGTAATAGTCAAAGCCATTAGACAATCATGGTTGATGGCCCTTGTCAACTAAACAGATTCATAAATTATAGCTATAATTGCACTCATCAAGTAAGTAAATATTTTATGATGATAATTATTACTTCTGTTATGAGACACAAACCATAAATTGAATTAAAAAATTAAACAAATCAAAACAATTCATAAATACAATGTGCAGGTACTACGTACCTCTGTTTTCTAAATAAAACGAAAAAATTCATAATATTTAATAAATAATATTATAACTTATATGATTTACAATCTAAGAACTATAAGGATAACATTATCATTGTCCTTCTAAAAAATGTATCATTGAAAATAATTTGAAAACGATCTACTGATGGCTTTTGAATGAATGTTGATGTATTATTTAAATTTATTATAAAGCGTTATTCATAAATTACTGTACTAATTATAAAAAATAATATGTATATACAGGGTGATAATTTTATCATGAAACACTCATTGTTTCAAAAAAATATTAATGTTTTTGAAAATATTTTTTTACATAGTTTTAAGTTGTTAAACAATCATATTTTTAAATGTTTTTTATCCTCATCATTTTTTAAGGATCTTACTTTTTTGAATGACAGCATAGAGTTTTAATTTCATATTCTAAAGCAGAATATTTTTCTAAATATCTTGATTCACAAAAATCGAATTTAGAGCAAGTTTTTTATGAGTTATAAGTATTCAAAGTTTAGGTGGGCGGAGTATAGTGATTAGTGGTACGAATGTTACCCCGCAAAATGTTTGTCCACTACTCCATTTGTCTAAACATTAAATACTTATAAGTTATAACTCATAAATTACTCAACCTAAATTCAATTTTTATGTATCTAAATACTTAGAAAAATAATGGAATATAAAATTAAAACTCTATGGTGTAATTCAAAAAATAAAAACTTAAAAAAAATTAAGTATAAAAAATATTTAAAAATATGATTTTTTAGTAAAAATGTTGTTTTTTAACAACTTGAAACTATTTCAAAAAATATTTTCTAAAACATTGATACTTTTTGAAATAATTAGTGTGTCATGATAAAAGAATCACTTTGTATGTTTATAGACAGTAATTAGTTGATATTATATTTCAGTATACCGATATTTTAATTTTATAAAATAGTATTTTGAGTAAAATCTATTTGTGCAATAGATTGGAAAGATATAGTTTACTTTGCAGTTAATATATAGAAGGAATATTGTCAGGAAATCCATTCATTCCTGTCTTGAAAAGTTTTAGAAAAAAACTCTATAGTATTATGAAAATCTTTGTACACGAAGTTAGTGTGATTACGTACCATTTGAATCTGGAATAAAATAAAAACTAGAAATTAATATTATTAAATACTCATAATTGATTTCTACTATAATATCACAGATTCATGGCTAATATTAAAATGTAAGATTTATCTTATATTTTATAGTATAAAATAAAATTATGATTAAACATAAAAAAATACTTGCTTAATTTAGCTAGAAAAAAAATACATGGTATTAATTTACAAGTATAATTGTAAAACATATATAATACATTTTTATGATGAAAGAGGCAAATTTAGTGGTTTCATTGAGAAATTTTCAATAAATTTACGGAATGTCCAGTAGGACACCAATTTTGAAAGTTAAGACTCTTTGGTAGAAATAAAAAAAAAACATAGGTTAGGTTACAAAATATTTACATGGTTTATTAATTATTTATAATATTCTATTCTTTACTAGTTCGTAGTACAGGTAAAACTTTAATAATAACTTCACAACTTACAAAAAAAAAATTTCTAATTATAATTAAAATAATAAATTTTAAAATCTAAGTTTATTAAGTCCCATCCATTCACAATGCTCAAAGTTGCTAACAATTATGAAGAATTAAGACATACTTCAGGAACATCGAGTTAAAAAAAATCATTTTAAATAGGTAAGGTTAGATTACATTAGAAACATTTTTGCACTTATTAATCCACACTAAAAATGTTATTATCGGAATAAAGAATAATCAATACAGGCTAGAGCTATAGGTAGGCACATAAAGTGTAGCTAACCAAATTACCATATATTTGTTAGAATTCACACTCGTCCATTTTAGAACGTCTAAACTCTATAGTGTTCCAGATGTAAAATGTATTTTATGAGATTTCCAATTCTTAAAAAGCAATTTTAAGAGAAGAAAAATATTGTTTATGTTAATTCACCAAGAATCTTTCAAGCAAATAAATAAAGATCAATGAAATAATAAACTTAATAAATATTTCTTACCAACCAAGTCAGCTGAATAGTTATAAAAAAAAATTATTTGTAATTTTTGACCATATTAATTGTCAATAAATATTAAATATTGAAGGTCCAGGAAGAGACTAGGATAGGTTCTGTCAAATATTAACACAATTGTTATAATGCAATAATTAGATTTCTCTACCTAAGGGTATGTTAATCAAATTGTATTCCATGTGCCTGTCTGCGTCTAGTTTGACTCATTCATTGCATTGCTTGGTAGGAGGGACTTTTGGTCCATCATGGCCAGTGTCGGCCTGGTTCTAAAGGGCCCAGGCAGGATTTTATTTGGAAGGGCCCCAGCCCCTGTACTACAAAATTTATTTATTATAATTAAATTAAATGAATCATAAATATGAAAAATGGTCATAAAAATGTAATACACATTGTATATAAGAGATTCTAAATTTGTCATTTTAAATTTCAAAAAAAGTTAAATTTTTCTCTTATTCTAAATTTACAGGTATTCAACTTTTATATAAAAAAACTATGTATATATAAAATAAATACATTAAATATATTATATTAAAAGTCTTGTCTTATCTTTTGACGATTTTGCTATGTCATCTATTAGTTTTATTTCGTCTACATTTAAAGTAATATCTTTTTCTATAAAGCCAAAAGCATTAGTGGTTCTAAATGCTGCTGATCGAGTGGCGATCTTAATTTGGTTTTAATTACTTTTAGCTTGGAAAATACTCTTTTACGCGTGACTTGAGTTGATGGCAATGGCATTATGTATTTAAAAACTTGATACAAGTTGTTGTACATACCAGAATGACTAATACATAAACGTACATATACTTACACATAAACGTAGAGTAATCAATTTCTATTTTTCTTTATCTATAGAGTATAGACTACATCGCAAGTTAACGATTTATGTCCGTATATTGGTACGATAATTAATTCGGTATTATACATAATATTGCAATAAATGCACAGAACTATAATAATACTATACAATACCTATTATAGACAGTGGATTGCGAAATAAAAATCCCCGATTCTAGGAAAAAACACCCAGACTTCAATATTAGGTACTCACATAATCACATGAAATTGATTGATTAAATGTTTTTTAAAAGCTAATTAATGTAATTACCACATTGTTAATATTTAATTATAAATAAACACAAGGTTTAGGAATAGCTATCATTAAAAAAATGATTGTATAATAAATAGTGTTCAAACATTAACAATAACATTAGGTATTTTGTTTTTGATTTGAAACAACATAGGTAAATAATATGTTAATGGTTCTTTTAAAAAAATATAGGTTAATACATTCAGTAACTATTGTTTGATAATTATTTGTAATTTGTATCGATTATTCGAAATATTTTTATTTTGTAATATTTTAAATATTGTATCTATGAGTAAAACTTGTAAAATCGACTCCTAATAATACAATCATTTCCTTGTGGATTCCTCAAAAACGATTTTAATCAACCGGCTAAATTAATCATGGTGAAAAACTATAAACAGTGTAAATATACATGAAAATATGAAATGCTTTAATTTAACCTGCAATTTCACTATGGGCTCTGGCCTAGCCGCCAAGGAGGCCTCCCCCTATTTACGCCACTGGTGAAGTATAATAATATAAAAAGATACAACAGACTCATTATAGAAATTGAAGTAGAAATTAAATAAAATTTAAATAATATTCATTAAGTTAATCGATTGGTTTTTCTTTTTTTTTCTTATTTTATAAGTCTATATTATAATATAAATATTACGTTCATAATAGTTATATAGGTACGAAAATATGCAGTAAATCTAGTACGTCACTAGGTAGCATCACAGTCGCAAACGTACATACCCGTACAACTTTGTGACCGGTGTCCCCCCCTGCCAGTAGTGTCCAGTCCTATGTAGTAGTTCGTGCTTTAAACAATTTACCCAATACTTCCACTTTTACTTATTTACTATTATTATATTACTTAGCTCGCACCACAAGTCACAACCGCATTTAAATATATATATATAAAAAAAAAAAAGACGGGGCCCAGGCAGCGATTGCTGCCTAGCTGCCTTGGCCAGGCCGACACTGATCATGGCATATCATGTCGAAGGCTTTTTCAAAGTCGAGGAAGACTGTGGCTGTTTTTTCCTCTCAATATGTTGCGTTAGTCAGGTGGTCGACTACTTGCGTCAGTTGGTTTGTTGCAGAGTGCTGTGGACGAAAGGCAAATTGTTCCGTTCTGATCAACGGGGACAGTGTTTTCTTGAGATTGATCAGGACTGAGATCTCGAGTACCTTCCCCATGGATTTGATCAGTGAGATTGGACGATGGTTTTTGGATTTTTCAGGTCCTTCCCTGGTTTGGGAATCATTATGACCGTGGCCATTTTCCAGGGGACGGGAAAGTGTTGATATCTGAAGCAGGTGTTCAAAATGTTTGTCAAAACCAGCCAGGTCTTGTACGAAAAGTAACAGATAGCCATGTTGGGTATACCGTCTGGACCGGTCGCTTTGTTCCATGGTAGTCGCTTGATTATGAGCTGTACTTCTCCTAGCGATAATGGTTGGACTCTGGACTTGGCTGTCGAGTGTAGAGTTCGTATTGAACCAGTGACCCGCTCGTTTGTGGATGGAGTTCCTTCCGGACAGGCGAAGTGGGCTACTAAGTTTGCGGCGAAAAGTTCTTCTTTGCCAGGAGCGTCAAAGACCGGGCTTTGTGGATTATTTAGCGGGCGGTCAGGAGGTCTTCTGTTTATCAGAGATTTGTTAAATTTATAGACTCTTAAGTATTTCTCTTGATTTCACAAGATCTCGTCTGTGAATAGCGCCTTATTTTATACTCTATTTGTTCTCATATTCGAGCTCAGACAAGTGAAAAAACCATCTTCGATACGATGTTTATCCCTGCTGTTGTGTCACACTCGTTTGTCTCTAGTGTTAATTTTATTGAATCGTTTTACCGGGTTTTTTATCGTATGTTTATTTCATGGTAGTCTTTAGAAAGACTGTTTTAGTATTTGTATAGACCATTACAATATAAATATAAAAAAAGGATTAAAAATAAATGTTGGTTGAAATTTTATGGTTAGAAGTACATACATTTTTTGGGTACAAATATAAAATTCCACATAAATTAAAATATAAAACTATATAATATTCACTTACTCATCCAATCTATAATAACAAATTATTAAAATGTTATTGTTACTACATATCATATTGTAATTAATAAAAAATGATAACTCAAGGTTAGTTATAAATTACCACGGATTAAAAATATAGATAGGAAATCATTTTAATATTGTGTCAACTTATTGTTTTGTATTGAACTAAAACGGTTATACCCTGCCGAATAGTACACTTCACACTTCGAGTGTGCATTGAGTACCAAATTCAATAAGTGATTTGTGCGTAAAATTTGAATTCAATGATCAATCATTATAAAGCAAAATATATTTAGAACTGAGACTGTATGTTGGCCTGTATTATAAAGTATCTTTCAGGGACTGTTCTTTTTTTGACTGTCTGTGTTTTTTTTTTCAAGTTTATAATGTACTAGCTGACCCGTCACATCTTCGCTTGTAATTGGTTGTTAATTCGGACGATGATTTGTATAATTTTTTATTCAAATTGTATCGTTTAATGTGATCAACAAGTAAATAGACAAAACGGTTAATGAAGAAGTATTGAAATGTTTCTAGCGGTATTAATGATAAATATATTTTATTAAAAATAGCTGATCTCCCGTGCACTTCGTTGCTCGTTAAATGTACCAACTCTATATGACCCAAACTTTGTTCAATTATTTATTTAATATTCGGGGTATGGCGTTCAAACCTTATCTTAATTTTTCCGTTGCCCAGAGTAAAAATTCTGATTCCCAACAGTATACATATTATCAGGTAGGCAATCTACCTAATTGCACCTTACGAATGTTTTATTAACAGTTAACACGTTGATATTACGATGTGCATATGTCGAAAAATTAGTATTGGGAATACTTTTTTTACTAAGCTATCTGCTATAAAGCTACAGGGCTAAATTAATTGTCATTATTTAATAATGACCAATAGGCAATAACAACCTTACAATACACAAAAATATATTTTTATTTAGTTTCTTTTCTTACTGAATATGGTACTTAATTTCAGATTTGCTACTTTTCGGGTGGGTTTCCTTAGTATGCTATTACTTCAGAGTTAACTTCTCCTGACAATTACGAATACAACAAAAAAGAATTAGCAAAATTGGTCCAGCCGTTCAGTTGTGGTACAGCGTCCAAAGGAATATATATTTAATTTATATATAGATAGATACATAATATAGTATAATAAAGATAGATTGTTGAATAATACTTCTCGGAAAAATTCTTCATATCGACTCGCCGATAAACACACACAAAAGAAAAAAAGTCAGGTTCCATGTAGATGGAAACCCGAGGGCCGCCATGCCGCACAATATATATAATCACATAATTAGCCTAATTAGGTATACAATTTATATGTTTATTTTATTAATATTAACTAATTATTTATTAACGTTATCGGGCTAAATGTATGCCTTAAATCTTCTCTGTTATATCCTCTTTAATTAAAAAAAACTGCACGACGATTGAATAAGTAGTTTCGGAGTTTATCTAGAACAAAAATAAGAGACTCCATTTTATATAGTAGTATAGAAACGTTTTATAACAGAAATAATGGCCAGATCTTCAACTTAAGTACTTTTCAAAATATTAAGAATAAACAAAGTAGTATAGAAATCATAGTATAGTATTTGTATGCCAAATTAATTAAATGTTTTTTTTTTTAATTAAAAAAAAATGTATGTAGAGTCATGAAATTTTACAATTAAAACCGTATTAAAGTTAAAATTTGTTTGAACTTCATTAAAATCACAAACATTTTTAAATTATAATATAGGTCTGGTCATAAGGTTTAAATGAAAAATAACATTATTATAGTATATTGTGTGACAAGAGCGGGAAGTGAGCTATTTCAGTGGTACGAGCCGTAGGCAAGCCACACCTACCTACTATTTTTTGTCACGCCTATGATGATATGTCCGCCCCGTACTTTTGGGAATTTCCACTTTACTGCCCTGCAATTTTTGGGATTTCCACTTTACAGCCCAGCACTTTTTTTGATTTCCACTTTACCGCCCAGCACTATATTAAGAATTCCCACTTTACCGCCCGCTGGAAGGAAAAAGGACGCTTTCGAACGCTCCAACCGCTATCGAAAAACAAACTTTCGGTGTAGGTGTGACAAAAACACTATTACAACATATTAAAAATAAATAAATAATACGTACTTTCCTTTACTGTAAATAATAAAGTTTAACACATTAATAACTATGTATATAATATTTTCCACAAATTGATAATAATTCAGTGGCATATTTATATACTAGCACGGTATAAGGAAAAAAATATACATTTTGGGTTGTATAAAGAGAAAGACGTTCACGTAAATTATACATTTAGCTATATAGTAGGTTGGATATTATATTTATTTTTATAATATTACTTTAATAGGTAAAATACAATTGGAAATGTAATAAGTAGGTACATGGTTTTTCAAAGTTACCGTTTTAATAATTTTTGAAAATACATGTTAATATTATTTATTTTGTAACCGTTTTAAGGTCAAATAAATATATAAAAAATTCCTTAAAATTATAAACATTTTTTAATTATTTTACGGGTCGGGTCAATGTCCAAACATATAAAATAACGCGTAGGTACCTTCTTCTTCTGTAAATAATAATATTTAACGAATTAAAATAAAATCAAATAGATTATAGACATATTATTTATTATTTAAATTATAAAGTGATAAATATAAAAAATTCTAGATTATTGTCATCTGATCATTCCAGGGAAGGGACAGTAAAAATATAGCAATAAACATAAATTTTAGTTACCAATCGCCTCTGCAAAAAAAAATATCATACCGATGTTTTTAATAGGTACCTAATGCAATATTTGATACAAGTAATACATGAACTTTGTAATTGTGATGTAATTACCTAACTATTTGGTTTTCACTATCGCTTACACAAATTTATGAATTTGGATGTGTGAATATTAAAAATATTGACTATCTATGTGCATATATTTATATAAACTTATTATTTTTTTGTGATGCCCATTTAGAGGTTATTAAATTTCCTTTATAAGGAATTCACCTTTTTTTCTATCTTCAATGTTGTTGCCGCCACAACATGATTAAATAATATTATATACGCATCATTTAAATTTAAGGTCCATGTCACTGGCACCACCCATTTTGAATTTCGGGTCAAAACCCGGGGCTTTCGTTTGTGCTCCGTTTGTGCTGGTTTGTGCAGCAAATCCCTTCGTTCGTGCTCAATCCTTTCCAAAGTTATTCGCGATTTACCCTGGGCGGTGCTGGAGACATGCTGGCACCGCCCAATTGAAATTTTTAACTCAAACCCGGGGCTTTCGTTTGTATTGCATTTTCTATACAAGATAAATTTTCAAAATATTTTCATTTGTTTTGAGCTGTTTGCGGACATAAGCAATATTCGATTTTTTTAGTTTTTGTTTCTATAAATGTCAATTAAAATTTATTTGTTGGATACAAATGCTTGGAAATTTAATACAAATCTCCTATCGTATTGTTACAATGACATTTAAAAAATATCAAAAATCCTTAGTCACAGTTTTTTTTTATAAGCATTTAAAGTTCAAATTTTGACAAAAAACGGAAAAAAAACACGAAAATTAGCAAATTATTTTGAGTTCAGCTGCAATTATTTCCCGGCAATCCCGACCACTGCTGTTCGAGCTATTACACCACTACACACCCAGCTAGTCATCGTATATTTAAGACCTGTCCTAGGTGTTAGTGGTCAACAATTAGGTGTCCGAGGTGCGCATACTATTATTATATGCTATCGGCCCGTCCAAATGTCAAATTGTATCTACAAATGGACATTGAAGCCATAATGGACGAAATAATGAATACTATAATAATATAATATTGAAATTTCGCACAAAATAATACATTTTAATAAAAAAAATGTTTTTAAAAATACTTACTAATAATAGCTGTAATAATTATAATAATAATGAATATAGGTTATTAATTATAACTATATTAAAGTTAAATCAACATTTTCAGTAGAGGAAATTTTAATTTCAATTTCAACAATTCCAATTGTAAAAAAAATTCCTAATCATTAACATAAGTTAAACGTACAATCTGCATTGTTTTTATGTATAGGTTATTTATCTTCTGTTGCTTGAAAAAAAAGCCAACTTGAAACAATTTCAAAATAAGGTTCACAATTTTATTGTCATAATTGGAAATTACATTGTAAAAATAATGACAAATATAAAACGGGCATGAAAGTTTTGATTTAAAAAGTATACTGTTTTTTCAAAATTTAGATGACAATTTATTATTGAGAAAAAACAGTAAGCAAAGCGTAAAACAAAGTTATGGTTTAGTATGCAAATTCACAATAAATTATAAAACACAAAAATTACGTACGTTCTAATTGTTCTAAAGAAAAAATACAAATTGTTTTAATTGGCTTAAAAATGATTAAATATGTGAAAAATATTTTATAATAATATTCATTTAAGTTACTATTATCAACAATAATAGGTTAGAAAAAGGTAATAATATTTAGTCATCAACATAAAAACTATTTACAATGCACAACTACAACTTAATGGTTCTTTTCATCCATCTATGCACTCAATATAGAATTTTAATAGTATTGTAGTTTATGAACGTAAACATAAT